AAAAACCAACACTGAAAAGTGTAGATGTGTTATTGTAAATCCTGCATCAAGTTGATTTTGAAATAAAGGATTAAACAAGAAAATGAAAGATGCTGTTTTAGCTTCTTTCCTCATTTTTTTGATCATATCTCTACAAACTGCATAAAGAGAAATACTAACAGCTAAACACTGCTGTACTCGTTCAGCAGGTTTAACATATTGTAGTCTAAATGTCCACTTAAAAAATTAAAATCTTGAAATGTTTAGCCAAATACTAAATGTAGAGGACAGCAGATAAGATCAAGCTATCAAAATGTGTCAATTCATTAACTTTTGAAAGTTTTTAAAACCCTTTAACTTCTAACATCTTTAAGTTAGTAGTAATGTATTGCTGAAATAGAAAGTTAATAAAGTAACATATACACGTCTTTAAAAGATGTTGCTTTCATAGCTTCAGCCTCTTTAGATCTTTATGATGAAAATCCAGAGCAACTTCATTACAAGGTCACCTTTTTGAGAACAAAAGAAAATCCAGAGATTAAAATGTGAATTTCACTTCAGCAGGACAAAGTAATAAATCACCCTTCGCTTTTTAAAGAAATCTTTTCAACCCATCAGTCAGAAATAGTTATGTGACACAATTGCAACCTCATAAAGACATGGTCAACCAACTGAACTGATGCGGCGAGGAGATGAATCTATAACACAAATCTTCTGCATCCTTTATTATATTGGGGCAAACACACAAATCCAGGTACAGAGAAACAACTCTCCACACACATTTGCAAATAATATTGCAACAATAGCAAGTTTCAGCCAATATGAATTAGGCTCACAAGTAACAGATAAAACTGATACTATTTGGCACGTTTACACGGTTGTGGTGTAAGGCAGTGGTTAACGAATTGGGGGGACCGCCACTCAGTGTTTTTGTTTTTCTGTTTTTTTTGCTGTGTTTAGCATTATTGCAGCAGAACTGAAATCTGGGTGCCACGCTATACCGAACAGATTTGGTTTGCAAAGGGAGACTTTGTTGGTAAGAAGAGGAGAGATATCATTTAGGCAGACAGAGAGAAAGAGAAAAAGGGAAACAGCAAAACCATAAAACCAGCTGCTGTGTCGGTACAAAAGAAACTATTTCTTGTGGCAATCCAGATGAAGAAATTAGAGGAGCTCCTGCAAATGGACACAGGGAAGACAAAGGAACTGACAATCAACAAAAGCAACAACAATGGTAGCAGGGACATTAGTGAGCTTCTCAGAACTGTGCAGCAACAGTAGCTTAAAGAGGCGCTTGTCTGGGTTACTGAAAAAAAATGCAATGATGGTAATGCTGGCGAAGATTCTCAGTCATCCAGGCTATAGTCATTCAGAAAATAAGTAAAAAAAAAAAAAAAAAAAAACAATCCATTGGACTTTTCTTTCCAAGTCTGAAGATGTCCAGTGGATAGTTTTTGAACTTTTTTGGAATGATGGGAATGTTGAATACGAAGTGTTGAATTCTCTTACACAGTAAAATAGAAGGTTAAAATAACAACACTCCAAAAGTGGTAGTTTTTTAATTTAATATTAGAATAATATAAAATTTAATTTATTTTACAGTAACATTGTTTACAGCATTGGTTCAAATTTTTTTGTTTGGTAACTAAACGTGTCAGTGCTTATGATGCTAGTCCTAGATTTATTCTATAAATGCTATGAAATAAATCATTTGCTTATTAGCATATTTTCTTCTTTCCTAAACTCTGAAACCCTTTTTTTTACTTACCTCCACTTGCCTGTGTAGGTCTGTTGTTGAGTTTTAAAATGTTAACAGTTCTGTCTCTTTATGCAAAATGGATACATGTTAAAAACAAATGTTAGCTTGTACTTTCCTAACACTTGGTCAAATTCAAAGACGTTTCACACTATAATCAAAAATACCCATTCACAAACACATTCAAATGCAGACATGTGCCCACTTCTGTCTAGCATCTAGTTTATTTTAAGTTTTATATTGAATTTCAGAAACTGCAAATATAGAAGTTGACCTTATCTCCTTTGTGCAAAACGTTAACTTTAATATATTTAATGTTTAGAAACTTTAATAGAAAAATGATTTGAGAAACAAACTCCTTCTTAGTATGTGGACCTCCTTCAGATAGCCCTGCAAACCTGTACTCCCCTCAATAAAAATGTGTTTCCCACTTTATATTAGAAACCAATTTAAAATAGTTGCGGGGAAAAATGAGCGCTATAAATAAAATTGGTTCTGCAGTGAAGGGTGGATGTTATTGAAGCAGCTTACATTCAATGCGTTCAAGTTCCTTCTATAAGGATTGACTGAGGTCATTTCCTCCAATGAAACACAAAAACGGACAGAATGCTTTTTTAGACTCATAAGTTCTGTTTTTTTCTTTTAAAGACTTTGAAAAGCATGTTTTATCTGTGTGAATGGTTCAGCTGTCTTTGATGAAACGTTGTCTCCTCTCACACCTGCTCCTTGTCAGCTCGTTAGCCCTGCCATTGTCTCAGTCAGCTACACTGTCCCTCTGCAGTCACGCCTTGTTGGTTCCTCGTTGTTGCTGGTCCTGTCGTCGCTGTTTTCCTCTCACCTCATCTCTCCCTGGCTCCTTGTACCCTTGATGTCTCCGTAGTTCTGGTCTGAGTTACATTTTAGATGGATTTTTGGATTTTGCCTCTGCTATTAGTGTTTTCATTAAAACTACAAGAATTCACCTCAGCCTCTCTGCCTCTGCATTTTGGGTCCTCTTAACTACAACCAAGACGTGACAGAGGAAAACAGAAAAACCCTAGAACTAACATAAATCTAGAAACTACAACAAAATAGGAATTAAACCAATAAAACTAGGAAACATGGAGCAAAGTAAAGAACAACATAACCAAAACCATGACAGAGAAACTACAAAAAAATAGGAATTAAACCAATAAAACTAGGAAACATGGAGCAAAGTAAAGCACAACATAACCAAAACCATGACAGTAACGCCCAATTCTCTCCTAGGTTATTTACATATTGCTTACAGATCCTCCTACTTCCACTTAAAACTTCCTCAAAGCACTTGGTTCTTGAGCTTGAAGCCATGGTTTTAATTTGAGTGGGCTTTAGTCTATGAACTATCAGCTGTCATTCCTAGTTCCTGTAGAACATGTTTAAAGTGCTGATATTTCTACTACTGCAGCAAGGTAAGAAAATATCTTGTTACTAAGACTGTTAAATACTTGACTATTTGAACACTTCAACACTAATCAGTAGACCTCAACTTAAAGGTTCACCTGATGAAATCTTAACTCTTGACTTGGACTTATAAATGTTTCTCAGGGTTCAGACCCAGCCGTTTTGTTCAGAACTTTCATCCAATCAGCTTAAATGTTGGATTACGTCTACGGTAAATCATTCAGAAATCCTTGAAAGCAAAGACTAATACTTAATGGTTTCTGAAAAAACTATCCTGTTTTCTGTCAAAGCATCAACAAGACCGTTACTTGCATTGCAATGCAGTTCTTTATCCGTTTCATATGCAAATGAGGTGGTGCCAGGAGCTCTTCTATTCCTCTGCTATTTTCAGACTTTCAGTTTTGGCTAAGAAAGACTCAGCTGCTGTAGACTTAATTTGTTTGTGTTATTACTACAACTTTACTTCAATTTATATGAGTTATCTTAATACTGAATGTTTTTACAAACATGTACTAGCTATGAATTTTATGTTGTTTTTGTATCTTCAGTGAAATATATGAGCATTTTTTTGTTTCAGAAGGCACTGAACAAAACGAAAATCAGCTTAGGTGAAGTTTACACAAAACTTTTACCCCACATGTGCTGCAGCTATTTTCTGCTGATTAAATAATTGATATCAGAATAGTATAGAATAGAATTCAACATTATTGTCATCACACCGTCACAAGTATGAAATGAACTGTTCATCAGTAAAAAGTCTCCATAAAAGCAGAAGTTTAGGCACGTTGCTGCTCTAGAGCATATAGTCATCTACTGATGCAATGGAAAGCTTAAGACATCAGCAATGACCAAGACATCTCTGATACACACCAATCCAAACACTTGTTTAAAAAAGAGAGAGAAAATGTTTTTATTCACAAGTGAATCACCCATAATTTTTTTTGTATTTAAGTATTTTTGAACATTTAGGAAAGGTTGCCGAGGTGGTTAAAAAGCTCCTCAGTGGCAGGGCCCCGGGGGTGGATGAGATCCGCCCGGAGTTCCTCAAGGTCCTGGATGTTGTAGGGTTGTGTTGGCTGAGGCGACTCTTCAACATTACATGGACATCGGGGGCAGTCCCTCTGGATTGGCAGACTGGGGTGGTGGTCCCCCTATTCAAAAAGGGGGACCGGAGGGTGTGCTCCAATTACAGGGGAGTCACACTCTTAAGCCTCCCTGGCAAGGTCTATTCGGGGGTGCTGGAGAGGAGGGTCCGTCGGATAGTCGAACCTCGGATTCAGGAAGAGCAGTGTGGTTTCCGTCCTGGTCTTGGAACGCTGGACCAGCTCTACACCCTCAGCAGGGTCCTGGAGGGTGCATGGGAGTTCGCCCAACCAGTCTACATGTGCTTTGTGGACTTGGAGAAGGCGTTCGACCGTGTCCCTCGGAGGGCCCTGTGGGGGGTTCTCCGGGAGTACGGGGTGCCGGGCCTTTTGATACGGGCTGTCAGGTCCCTGTATGACCGGTGTCAGAGTCTGGTCCGCATTGCCGGCAGTAAGTCGGGCTCGTTTCCAGTGAGAGTTGGACTCCGCCAGGGCTGCCCTTTGTCACCGATTCTGTTCATTACCTTCATGGACAGAATTTCTAGGCGCAGCCAAGGTGTTGAGGGGATCTGTTTTGCTGGCCTTAGGATTGCGTCTCTGCTTTTTGCAGATGATGTGGTCCTATTGGCTTC